CATTTCTAAAGCCTCGTAAACGACTCCTTGWCCAGAAAAGGCGGCGTCGCCATGGATCAAAACGCCCAAAACCTTTTCTCTGGAGGAATCACCAAGGACCTTCTGGAGCGCTCTGACTTTTCCCTGAACGACAGGATTAACAGCCTCAAGATGCGATGGGTTTGCAGCAATCGAAATGTGGAACGCTTTTCCGGAGGAGGAAACCCTTTCGCAATTCATGCCAAGATGATACTTTACATCACCGGAGCCTCCAGCCGAGTAGTCGTGAACTCCATTAAATTCGCAAAATAGAGAAGCGACCGATTTTTTAGCAACCCCAACAAGCACATTGAGCCTGCCTCTGTGTGGCATCCCAATGACAACATTAGTAATGCCAAGGTCAACGGAATGGTCAATCAAGGCCTTTATTCCCGGAATAAAGGCCTCACACCCATCCAGTCCGAAGCGCTTTTCTCCAGGATACTTGGTGTGAAAAAACTGTTCAAAAGAATCTGCCCACAAAAGCCTATTAAGTATTTTCTGGCGCTTCTCAGAAGAATAGTCGTATTTTTTGATCTTCTCAAATCTGTCTTTGATCCAATCGCAAATCGTCTTGTCAGCAATGTGCATGTATTCGATTCCGATTGTTCCACAATATACCGCCTTAAGTGCATCAATGAGCTTTCGAAGCGTTGGATTTGGATCGGAAAAAAAAGAAATCTCATCAGGAGGCAATTGAATTGGCCTATCCAAATCAGCCTCCGTCCAGCCATAGAAGGAGATTCCAAGCTCTGGAGAAATATTTGCTTGGTTCGGGTTCAAAATGCCGAGCGGATCCAATTTGGCAAGCTCATGCCCTCGGAGCTGATATGCCCGAATAAGAGAGGCCACTTTGAGTGCCTCGGCCGTAAGGAGTGCAGAGGCTGCTGAAGACGGCGATTCATCGGGTTTAGACTTTGGTTTGGCCTCGCCATAAACAGACGGACCATTTAAGCTCGTAAAGTACGATTGAAGAGATGGATTGACAGATTGAGAATCCCGTATCCATTCCTGGTACAAATTGTCCAAATATGTAGCAGAATCGCCAGAGGCAGATAAATCTGCATCGCGTGAAAGGAATTTTTGCAAGCTGATCGACAGGAACGTCTGGCGCGACGAAACCCGAGCAAGCTTGTTGCCAAAAAGCCGAATCCCAACTGATCGCATGAAGTGGAAATGGAAGTGTAAATATGCTTTTTAAATTGGAAATGCATGCCGAATTGTTGCAATAAGTAGATGATTGTATTTAAAATTTACATTGGAAACAGCCCGGGGTTTTTTAACCTTGAACGCCGTCTTATTGGTTAGTTTTGCGATTTCAAATCTTATCCAGTAGTTTTAGGATTTTGGCGAACATACGGCCCTATTTTATGATTTATTGCTGCTGTTATCTGAATGTACTCAAATAAAAGAATGCTGCCCAACAATCCCACCCCCAATAGAATGCCTACATACTTGATATGCTCTCCATCTGCACCGGACAGTGATGCTCGTGTAAACACTCGGCCTCTTTACTCTTCTTCCACAAACTCGCCCAAGGACTCGTTTCAGGAATTTTCGCCCCCATTCATACCGGAGAAATATTCTTTGAATTCGCCGCTTTTAGCCCATACCAATCCCCCCTTTAACATCCAAAGATACGAATCTCGATGGCCCGTCCCTATCATTTCGCTTCCAAAGCGATTTCCATCTTTTTTGGGATCGGCAAGAAGACACATTTCCAGATGGATTCCACTTCCTGTCCTGGCTTTCTTCATTGTTTCGCTTTGTGTGTCGATTGTCGTGCTACTTAATCACATCAAATTTTTGCACCTTTTGCACTATATTTCGACCGGGCTAAATAGAAATTTTGGAAACTGGTATGATGAGTAGTCTTTCTAATTAATTAGGAAATATGTCATCTGCGGGCTTTCTAGCTTCGTTGCATGCTTTCCCTTTGTCATAGGATATTCTACCACTGTGGTGTTTACGGGCTTTTCCCTTGGCTTTGGGAGCGGGTTTGTCACCTCATATGTGGCCAGCGTGGCAGGCAGTGTTGTGTGCTTTTATGTTTGCAGAAAATATTTCGTTCAGGTGATAAGAGAATACATCAAAAAGCATCATCTTCTAGATGCTTTGAACGGGAGTTCATTCTTGAAACAACATGAGCTTAAGGTATGATAGCTCCTTTCATTTACCATCTGTAGACGCTGTTGGTACTTCGGATTGCCCCGATTCCCTTCAACATAATCAATTTGATCTCTTCGGGACTAGATGTTTCATTCACCAGCTATTGCATCGCGACCCTTATATCTCTTACAAAGCTATCGCTGTCATCCTACATAGGCTACTCCCTAAACAAGGCTGCTACAGAGTCCGCAATAACCAACAACATACCAAGGGAAAGCATTGTGGAATTGGCTATCTCATTTGGCCTATCGGGGATTTTTCTACTTGCATCTAGTATCTTGTATTTTCGCTTTAGAAAAGAATGGCAGCTTAACTCCTATTATACCCGGCAGGAGGAGATATGGCCTTCTGTGTTTAATAGAGTGTCATTTAGAAATAAAGGCACCGCGCCGCTTTGCTGATACAAATTGCTTGCTTTTTCTTGCCCAGGTTATTACCTCCTCTTGTTTATCTAAAATTTTATCCCTATTTGAGCTTGTTGGCGAGAAATATCGAATTTGTAAAATCTATGCACAAAAACTATTTCCTTTAACAACAGGAGCTATTCAGACGTTATTTATTTAATCATTGCATATGTAACACCTCCATTTACTTGCTCTCTTCATTGCATTTGTAACACCTCCATTTACTTGCTCTCTTCATTGCATTTGTAACACCTCAATTTACTTGCCCTCTTCATTGTATTTGTGATTTTGGACGGCTTTTCTTCTCATAATCCGTTTAATAAACTGACAGAAAAGTGACCTCGTTTTTTACTTTCTTTAAGCGCTGCATGGATATGTTTATCCCCACCCGCCTCATACTAGCACTTGTGTATGTCATGTTTTCAAACTCATAACATGCATATTTTATGGCGCGACAACCTTTCTGATTTTCAAAAAGTTGAGCCTGGTCGTTTTGTGCTTGGCTCCCCATTAATTTGCTATTTACTATTTGCTATTTGCAATACCCCTCCCTATTCAAAGTGTAATTTGGTAATTTTTTTACCGTTTACTGGCTGGAGTACTTTCTTCATTTCAGGGATCGCCCTGAAATGGCAACTCTCTGGCCTATAATATTATCGCAAGTTTAATCGCGAGTCATGCCTCTTTTAGGTAGATTTCGTTTCATAGCTTTGCAACAAAATTTAATTCTTAATGTTTTCCATAAGTTTATTAAGGAGCCTTTCCACATCCATCAAGCATAGGTTGAATGCTCGCCTTCCAGTTTCCTTTAACGAAACAGACATCAGCGAAAAGTTTATTCGAGGATGGGGGAAAGGCGGGCAGGCCGTCAACAAATCTAGCAATGCTGTCTATTTGAAGCACCATCCCACCAATACCGAGATCAAGGTAACTGCGTTTTTGATATATAGTGTCATATGCATAGATCTCTTGAACTGAATAGAAAAGAGGCCCGGAAAATCCTGATCAGGCGGCTTGACAATGCCATTAACGGGGAAAATTCGTTGGAATCAATAGAGGGCGTTAAAATCAAAGAAAGGAAAAGGCAAGCGGCAAAGAAACGTCGTCAGAAGGTAAAGTCCCGGTTTGAAGCAGAGGATCTTGCAACTGGACATCGGGAAGGCGCAGCAATCACCACCGATTTTGATGATAATAAAGGCTCGTAATTATTGATCGGTTTATTGGTTTACAATAATGGTGATCCAGTTAACATGACCAAAGAAAGGTAGCAATGATCAATCTGAAACGTCTAGGGTGGTGAAGCAGCAGGTGTGGTGGGATAACTAGGAAGTCCATCTGTTGGATGTTGGTCGCGATTGTCGGGAATCCCAATATCCAATCCAATATTTTGTGTCAATGGCTTAGTCATTCTTTGGGGTTGAATGATTCCGTGCTGTTGGACTGATGATGGCATCGATTGGGCGTTTATGCCTTTTTGCACGGCCAAATTTGAGGGAGTGGGAACGGAAGATCCCTGTTGACGCGAAACACTAATCATGGGCTGGGAAGGTAGCTGTGACAGTACTTGAGTAGCTGGATAAACTGGCGTTCCCATGCGCAGTCCAAGCATCGCTTGATTGTTATTTAGAGGTAGACTAGATCCGATACTAATGGATCCACTTATGGGAGATAATCTCGCAGTGCTTGAGATAATAGGCGAATTTGCGGGGTGTTGGAGGGGCAGGCCCGATTGGCGCGAAGCTTGCCCGGCAGCGTTATGTAATGGCGGCTGTGGATATATTGGAGCTGATGAGGGTGCCAGTAGAGGCTGGGTAGTGGGTCCTTGATTAGACTGAATCTGTGGCGAAGATGCTTGTTGAAGTTGTGGGAATGACGCCATCTGAGGAACATTATTCAGATGGGTTGTTTGGGGCGGCGGCAATGGCATAGAGCTTGAAAGCGGCTGCATTTGGGAATTCAAAGGAATTGGGGTAAAGTTTGAAGGACCTGCGGATTGGGCTTGGGCTTGAGGTTGGGCTTGAGGTTGGGCTTGAGGTTGAGGTTGAGGTTGAAGTTGAGGTTGGGGTTGGGGTTGGGGTTGGGGTTGAGATTGGGAATGATAATATTGTCCCAATGAAGGCTGATAGGTGGAAATTTGTGGTTGCAACATTTGAGTTCCTTGGGTATAAACATGGGAAGGTTGCTGAAAAGATGTCTGAGTCTGTTGGGTTGCAGATTGGGGAATTGACGAAAATTGTACTGGTTGGAGCATTTGGGAGTTCCAATTAGGCTGCCCCCCTATCGGCAGCATGCCAAGCGTTGGGTTCCAAGGCATACTTCCTGTGGATGGCACCGGTAACACTGATGACTGAAGAGGCATTTGCTGTGAGCGTTGGGACATTTGTATGTTGGAAATGGGTATCATTCTATTTGGAATTGGGGATACCGTTCTTTGGTTATGAGTTGCGTAAGCACCAACTCTTTGAAAAGGCTGAACCAGCGTCGTAGAGCCCTGGGTCGGTGATGGGGCCTGCTCAGGATATACCCTAGAATGAGTGGTTTGTTAAAAAGGTAGGGACGCTCGAAAATATAAAAGGGACCATAATATTACGGGCACAGGTAGAAATTAATAAATCAAATACGGTCTAATTACCCTTTTCTAGCAGAAGTTCCAGGAGGAACCATTCCAGGAAATCCGCCCCCAATGGGACTGATAATAACTGGACCTATATTTGGCTGGCTCTGGAAGTGGTATACTCGATGCAACCGTTTAAGTGCCAAGTCGGATGCAGAACAAGTGCTACTAACCAAGTGCTTTGGAATCCCCGAAGTTGCCTTTTTTACTGCAGATTCATGTGATGGATGAGCAGATATAGCGCTAACATACAAATTGTATGGAAGATGAGACTTGAATGTTGGAGAGGCTGTGTGAGTGCCACCTGAAAGAGAGCTAAAGGTTGAGAGCTTAGATAATCTTCTTTCCGATGTCAGGTTTACTTGTCGCTTATGGTCCTTGGTTAAAATGGACCCACCACGAGTGTGGATTTTCTTTTTAATAAGCCCAAAGATAAACAACCGTTTTTCCCATTGCTTAAGCTTCCATGATGGCGGGAGATTTGTGTTATTGTCTATGTTTTGAGGCTTGTGCGAGTTGATGGCCTTTTGATATATTCGCAACAAAAAGGATTTGGAACAGCTATGCGACTTTTCCTCAATGGGAGACAAATTGCGTTGAGCACTCTTTCCGTCAAGCTTAACCAAGTAATAGAAGCGCTGCAAAACGCTAAAAGGTGTGCGAACAAATGAATTGTGATGACACGTAGCATTAAGAAGCTCAGACACCAAGTTACAAGGAGGCATAAGCTCATGCTGGATTATAATTGGAAAATTTTTTGGACTGGCCGTTTGTTGATGGAGGGCAGAATTTAAATGGCAGTTGAAATTAAACTGCAAGCAGGCTTCAAGGATCAGCTGATCCTCCAACAGAGACCAGGGCGGAATAACCGGGTGTGGAGACGTAGATCTTGAAGAGGATATCGAATTCTCAAGATGATGCAAAAGAAACCCGTTTAAAGTTGTCAATGAATCGCTTATAGAGTTTGGGGGTGCCGAAGAGTATGAAAATGGACCCTCTAACAGCGTCAGAGAGTGTCCTTCATATTTGAGGGCATTTGACTTGTCAGGATATGTTTGCGGTAGATCAGTTGAAATATCCATTGAAGTCCGAGGATCTCCAGAGATGCATGGCAGATTTAAATCCTTCCTATCCGGCGGACCGAAAACAGGAACATCATTTAAAAAGGCTTGTTGGCAAAAAGATCCAATCTCCTCGACCTGGGTCAATGGAGGACTGGTTTTCGACAATACAAATTTGGCTGCATCTGCTGCCAACAAAAAAGCCAAGCGTATTTTTAGGCGTCTTTCCTCATAAAAATCCAAGGCCATCCACGAGATTTCATCGAAGAGAAAATCTCGATTTGTCCTCTTATTAACCCTGCCATGGACCCTAAGCGGCAGACAATATACGCTGTCGTCGGAAACTGGATTATGAAGCAAGGATTGGCGCTCCTTAATAATTTTATAGAAACTTTGTAGCTTTTTCAGCATTTCCGCCTCATTATGCGCATCCTAGATAAATAAAAAAGACAAAATCTTACCTTCCAATCTTCGCATTCAACAACTTTGCTTGAGATGGAAAGTTTGAGCAAGGTGTTTGAAGGAAGGGTTTCGAAAATAAGCATCCAATGCAAAAGTTCGTAATCCGAGTACTTTGAACTGCAAGAGTGGACGGTTTTAATGTCTTCAAGGCTTTTAACTGATGATGTCTGGTTTTCCAGAATCGACTTGAGCGAGTAGAACAGCGGCTTAGGTCTAAAGTTAACGCAATTTTAACATACTCGTTCGAAGTTGGAAAGTTGGGATTCCATTCCAATATTTTTTCCTTTAAATAACAAAAGAAAGCCGAGCTTTGTGGCTCAGCATTCGTTTCAGAAGCATCTAATGGCAAAGGTGAGGGGAATGTAGGAGTGGGTGAGGGCACTTGATCCAGTAGGAAATATTCCCAAACTGCAGAAAGAGCCTCTGAGTTTACTTGCTGCATAACCCCCATCCCCTTGTCCAAGACGTCTTTCTGCAAATTAAAACAATGTGCAGCCTCAAGTTGCTCTTTCTCTATCATATCGAATTTTTCAATCCAAGAAATAGGGTTTGGATTTTTAAAATCAAAATATTTTTATTTTTCAATGAATCGATGGATTTCAGACCAAAATTGCCTTTCTCATCTTTATGTATCGACATGAACATACTTTCTCGCAAAGCAAGTATGAAATTTGGCTGTTCACTGATGTCATTTCATAGAAACAGGTGCTTTATTATATGCTGAAAATTCGCAGATAGTCATCATTAAAGCCTATCTTTTATTTTGGAAGTATCCCACAATTAAAAGTAAATTTTTATATTTTAAAATCAAGGGTTTCAACCCGCATATTACATTGGCTGATAACAGTACGGTCGGATTCTTTCCTTTTGAATCCGCCCTTGATTCCACAGCCATGGATTAAATGGATTATTAAGAGCATAACGTTCATTACATGAGTAATTGTGTGTCAGACTAATCCGATATTTCATGAGTATACCGTATGATTAATGTTGATTTAAAGTAATGTACCTCGCATCGATTGCATCCAAGGGCACCGATGTTAAAAAAGTCCGATGGATGGTCTTGCATAATGCGTATGCAGTGACACTTTAGGTGCAACATGGGTGCAGCAACGTTCAATATATACGCTATATCCAAAAAGTCGCTGCATATGATTGTTGTTAATGTTGACTAAGATTGCTTTATTTAATGCTCGCTATAAATAATTATTCCCTTTCATTGTAATCGGGTGGATTGCAAAAATAGGGCAGTTCCCCGCGGATCCAGTCATTGAGGATCATCTTTGCAGCGGTACTGACGTCAGGCTCTCCGCCTTTTAAAAGTTTTCCTCGGCTTTTGGCCACTTGCGAGATGAATTCCAGACAGGTTGCTCCTTCGACAATCGAGGGATAAACTTTCCGCAGGTGTTCAAATCGAACCCGTTTAAGGATATCATCAACATGGTCTTCTGGCGTTGCTATATTCTCCACTCTAATAGCACCTTTCAAGACGAGTTCTGTGGGCGAATCGTGAATAGAATGCGGGACAATGCCGGGACAATCGATCAAATATATCCTCTTCATGAGCGATACATATTGCCATACTTTTGTTTGGCCTGGAATGGGTGCCACTGTGCATACACGTTTTGACTTCAAAGAGTTTATGACGGAAGATTTCCCGGTATTGGGAAAGCCAATAAAACCGACACTAATTTGCTTACGCTCCGGGTGTAGCTTGGAAAATTGCCGAAGAAGCGAAATCAAGGAGCCCTTTCCATATGGATTTTTTAGCGAGGCTTTATAAGCAAGCGTTGGCCGCTTTTTGGAGAGATATGAGATCCAGTTCTTTGTGACAGCCGGGGGGACCAAGTCACATTTGTTCAACAAATAAATAAGATGCTTATGTTTTGCCTCGGCATTAAGAAACGTCTCAACAGAGGCACATAAAGTTCCGAGCGGGTCACGGGCATCCAAAACATGGATCAAGACATCTGAGGAATCAATGACCTTGTATAGCTCATTCCAAATCCTCTTCGATTGGCCCTTTTTAAAAATCGGCTCATCCAAGACATCTGTGCCGCCGGCAAGATCATTTTCATCAATTTCCTCGTCTGCTCCACGTGGAGTCTGGTTTTGTTCCTCCGAAACTTTGGCCTCTTCTTCTGCCTTTGCTACAAGCTCTTCCAGTGAAGATGCAATAATTTTGGGCCGTTTTCTCGAGCCAGATTTGCTAAACGTTGCAGAAAACGACTCAACTTGGAGGAGATTCGAGGATGTCGATCTCTTGACGTCTTGAAGAAGACTCATTGGAAGCTTGTTTTGGCGCAGCAGAACTTGATACGGATCAGCTGTGCGGTTTTCCATTTCTTGTCTAAACTTTTCAATATTTTCAACGGACATGGTTCGCGTGTTTCCGAACCATTTTCTGTTGGGCTCGATTCTTACCACCGGCGAATCTGCAATCTTTTTGGCAAACGGGGCATCTCTAATTATATCGCCCTTTTTATTTCTTATAGGCTTTCCACCTTTAAGTAGCTTCTTTCTTGCTAGCTTGGTTTTGTCTGTGTAAAAATTCTCCCCTGAAGCAAACTTTTTTGACGGAAGAGGGGCCTTGGTGTTTTTGTGCGAGCTCTTGGCCATTTTTATTTAAAAAAATTATTTACAATTTTAGTATAAATTTTATTTATTTATGTAACAGGTTCTAACAGAATCAACGTGGCTTTTGGTCTCCAAATATTGTAGCTGCCATGCATATTAGGTCGTTGGCGTTGTAAGGTTGAATGGATCAACATATTTTTTCCTTTGAGAACCAGCTTTCCTAACAACGGAGCTGCCAGTGATGGCCATGGACGTTTGAAGCTCGCTGCTGCTGACATCAAAATTGGCAATAGTGCTATGCATCCCATATTGTCCCTGATCCTGAGGCATGGTTTGTATGGTATCCATAGGTGCTTGCATAGAACTATTTGTAATAACTGGAGCTGAAATGGTTGAAGAACTCGTTAAAGAGGCGTTTAAGGAAAGTGGCGATGAACGTTCTGGCTGGGGCTTCAAAGCCAACTTTGATTGTGTAAAGGGGGTTGTTATGTCTTTTTGCTCAACTTGTTGAGGCTCGTTAGCAACATGCGATGCATGCTGTTGGGAAAGGTTCACAGAAGCTGCAGATGGGGGCGGTTTTATCTTTTTGGGCTCTGGGCGAGGATGCTTTGGGTTAATCCATTGACCAAGCTCCTTGTCAAAGACAAGTTGATTTGCCGAGCCAAGATCTGCCCGCACCTTACGGGACCCACCTCGCTCCCCCAGGGAAGTAGATGAAAAGAAGCTTTTAATGGACTCAAGCAGAGAAGAATTCGATTGAAACGTATTTTTGGTAATCTCAAAAGTTGGATCTTCCCCATCGAGGCTTTGGCTTTCATTTTCCTCTACTGGTCTCGCTGACACACCATTTTCTGCGGATGGACTTTGTCTGCCTTCAGAAGTTTCAACCTGCATCTTTTCAAACGCAACTTTCGGTTCACCTCCAAAAAGGTGCATGTGATCTTTTCCAAATAATGGTTCAGAAGCAGCCGTAGGCTCCGGTGCTATCCTAAACTTATTTTCTGTGGCAAGTTCTGAAGCTACAGAAGCACCTTCGTTACTGGCTAAAGTTAGGCCATCCAAACAAGTGGGTGGACCATTTCTGTAATTTTCCAAAATTGGGGGAGGAATGAACGAGTTGGTCGCCGGAAATCGGGGAGGTTGGGTCATCGGGATCATTGCTGGAATTATTGGTTGAACCAATGATTTTTCGTCCATTGCAGGGACAAGAGGTGTCACACCAGGCCCAATTATTGAGGCGCCAGGGAGATGATCTGTAGCGGTCCTCTTGTAGGGTGCTTCTTCGTTTGCACATGATGGGTTGGTTGGAACGCCTTCTTTCCCAAAGCGATAAGTATATTTTGAGGTGAATTCTGACCATTTGGAGGCAATGATATTCCTCTTTTTTTCAAGCGTTTCTTTCAAAGTTATTTTAAAGGGGCTCAGAGCAGCCTGAAGGAATACACACGCCGCATACGAACGCAGCCATTGAAGATGAAGCGAAACATTCGAGTTGATTACGCTGTCGTGGAATAGGACGATAGGAATTGTGTTTTTTGGAGGAGATTCTTCTGCCCAAATTGCCAGTGTAAATGATAGTTGACTCGCCCAAGCAAGTTTGACCTCTAGAAAGGTCTTTGCTAGCATCAAATAAAGAGAGGGGTTTCCATTTGGAGGGCGAATTTGCAGCGCATGTAAAAGCAAATATGGCCATCTTTGGACAAGGTAGCCCGGGTCTCGGAGCGTTGCTCTCTTTAGCCATTGCACACCCAAATTACATTGATCGTAAATAAGATATGCCCTAAATACGAGCTCAAGGAAAGGAGCACGTGCCGATTTATGGTATTTTGAATCACCCTCAATTCCGATTCCAGGGTCCACTATCCAATCATCGACTTCAAGGCTTGGAAACTGCTCCTTGATAAGTGAACCGATTTGTGAAATAAAAGACGAAGATCTAGCTGCGGAAGACGAAGAGCCAAACAACACAAGAAGGACCGGTCTATCCAGGCAGTACCTCAAAAGCTCTATCTGATCATCAACCAACGGTTCTTCGCCAGAGTCCCCATTTTCTTGCTTCTCAAATAGTAAAAGTCGATTAAGGGTCTCCAATTCGGTCACACTGCCGCCATTTTCGCAATCGATTGCTTGCATAATGCCGTTGCGCAGTTGATCGGCAAGATGTCTAATCAACGGGGGAAGAGGTGAATCTTTCGAGCGATTGGAATCTGTATCTTCTTGCGGTTGCTTTTGCAGGTTTAAAAGAGATTGGAGAAATGCGCAAAATAAACGACGCTCAAAATGGAACAACGTGTTGTCTGTTTTAAATTGACTTTCCATAAAAAAGCATAGAGAATCTGAAAGCTTAGTCAATTGAATTTCCGAGTCTGACAGAAGAATCTCTTCACATAAGAGCTCATTTTCGGAGGGATCTGGATGTGTGGCGCACAATAAAAATCCTTGAGTTGAAAAGTAATTTTTCTCCCAATTTGGGTCCTTTTTTAGGCAAAGACGACTAAATGCGTGTGTAGAGCCTGCCCTGTAAAGAATTGCTTTGAAAAACACATTTGCAGAAAGGTCTTTGACAACTCTTATTTGTGGATATGGAAACGAAACAGCACCCACTGCCTTCCCATCCTGCGACCAAGAAAAAGAGATGCATGGGTGGACTCGTGAAACGTCAATAAGTCCTTGTGACTCTGAGCCAGAATCTGAGGCGTAAGAAAGAGTGTCATTTTCAAGTCTATAGTCATCTTCGCCATTTGAAGCAACCTCACAAGAAGAGACATCGTCACAGGATGAAGTATCGATAGATTTAAATGAATCATCGAAAAAAATCTGCTCCCTTACAGAAGATAATGGATCTTGGTCGCCAACTTGGGGAGGGTAAGCATTTCCATGCGATAAACCATGACCAGCCTCTTTTTCAAGAACCACAGACGCATCCACATCAGGAGTGTTGGATGGTGTGTCTGAAACCCCTTGGTTTCCATCCAAAAATCGCGATAGCCAATCTCCATTTGATGATTCTGATATCAAGAAGTCAAGTGGAACACCGGTGCTTGAGTGGTCGTTTGGATCGGTTGGTATAAGTTTTGCATCATTTTGAGAAGAGTTAGTTTGTGGATCAAGATTTCCGTCTATTGAACAGGGGTGACTTTTGTCTATGGTAGTGATGGGGGAATTTTTTTCGGGAACTGCAATTTTAGGTGCCATCTCAAAAGAGCTCAATGCTTTGTCAGATTCGAGAAGAGGAAAAGGAGATTGTTTTTTCATCACAAATGGATCATCCTCAAAAGAGGTACTTTCATCTGGAAAAGACTGCATTTCGGAGCTATCGTCTTGATGATTTTTGTTTGCAGATGAAAAAATACGGTCCTTCATTAAAGAAGTATCAATAGGTGTACTTTCAAGTGAGAAGGGAATGTGATCATCATAGCATATTTTCTCGGAAACTACAGATAAAGCTGGCTCTTTCTCAATCTCAACAACTTTTATATCCTCTGCCGGTTTCTGAACCTCAACAGCTTTCTTACCGTCGGCTGATTTCCCAATCTCAGCGCATTTCCCATCCTCGGAAACTTTTCCTTCACAGCTTAGCAAAGAAAGATCAGAAATCAATTCACCTAAAGCGCTTTCACCAGCATTTAATTGATGATAAGCTGGAATTTTTGTATCATGTTTTGTAAGGTTATCATCATAGTCGCTTAGCAATTCATCAGCCTCTCCCTCGTCACCATTTCCAAAGGTTTTTTCATCAAAGATTACATCATCGCTATTACTACTTTTTGAACAAGGCCAGAGTTTTGGCATTTCTTCTAAAAATGAATCAGAATGTCTCTGCATAACAGCTCTTGTATCTTCAAGCAAGAAATCTTGATTGTATGGAGAATCGATTTTCAGATCATCGGGTGTCTGGGGATACCCATTAATAATTGGAATCGGAGAGCTACCAAGGATTGGAGAGTTTTCGTTGGGAAAGGCATGCGGTTGGACAGGAGGCTTGTTCACCGGGGTTAGAGCATCATCGATTGCTTGAGTTGAAGGGCAAGTGGGGTACTCTGAAATTTCGGCATTTTTCTCAGTGGAACTATTGATCGGGTTCATGTGGCGCTGGAGTTCTGGAACCATTCCATCTGATGATGTATGGGACAGCTCCAGCAAGCGCCGAAACGTATCTACTCTTTGTCTGGTTGCTAGCGAATGGAGAGGAGAAGATAAGGAATTTATGTCGCCTTTTACATTGGTACGATTTGGTGGCGCTGATGGTTGCGGCAAGTTTAAATAATCAATACTGGCGTATCTGCTGAAATCCAATTCATCGCTATAGTTTGAATTTTTTGACTCGTCATTTGACAACACATCTTCGTCGATGCCCCAAGCTTCGGCTGCATCTTTTTGAAAATTTTCGGTTGCAGAGCCAGTTGACAAATTCCCTGAACAATTTGGTTCTCTGCTTGGAGCCATTAATGAGAAATAACAAAGATTCCCTTACAATTTAATGTCAAGTTTAAATTGAAAGTGCAAATTGATGGAATGAACTGATATTTGTGCACTATTTTACAAACGTATTTTGGAAATTTATTTCTCATCGTAACAGTCCCACGCTCGTTGGAAGCAAGTGTTGCATTGTTTTGCGATGCTGCTGCACGTCTTTTTGGCGGCTCATTTTCACATCTCATTTACAACTGGCCTAGGGCTTCATATGCTAGAAATTGTGAAATTTTCAATTTCGGACTCGACATTGATGGGCCAAGTTGATGGATAACAAACCATCGCCTTAAAAATAGGGGCAATCAAGTCAAATGCAGCCCGGTGTTCTCTGGGCAAAATCTTTTCTCTTACAAAAGATATGATAGAGCATTTTGATCTAACCTGTGCATGTGCCTTTCGTAGGTCGCAAACAGTATCGAACCGCTTACATATGTGATCAGAAAGCGGTTGTATCGATTCAATGCCAACAAATGGCACTTCTTTGCCTAACCCTAAAAATACATTCTTTATCAAAGCAGAGTTTTGTTGGAAATAGTTTCGGTTTTTCTCGAACAAACCCACCGCCTCCTTTAACGAATGCAAATAGCAGCCAACCGGCGCAATGGAAAGAAATTTGTGCAAAACCTTTCCATGGCCCAGAGAAGTGAAAAAATTAACAAATAATCCTAAAAGAGGCCCATTTAAATCCTTTGCAGCAGCTAGCAACAGATAGGAGACGAATTCTATCCTATGACTTTCAGAAAATAATTGGTCCACTTGTGCAATATTTAACTTTGCAACCAATCTAAGGGTCAGCGGAATAAAGGATTGGTCAATATATAGGGTGTTAATGAACACAGATTTTGTAAACGGAAGTTTTTTGTACGCTTCGACAAATACATGGTACAGATCTAAGGTGAATTGCACAAACTTGAGGGTATCACTACCACATTGCCCGAGGCCTTCGATGGATTGAAGAAACCTGTAGAGAACCCTGCAAATAGGCAATGAGCCAATCAGCGAAAGAGCTGCATCTGGGAAAATTGAAAGCTCTCCAGCGTCGCAAAAAGAATTTTGGTCAATCACAGATTCCACAAGTAAGAAACTTGACCTTGGATCTGAATAAAAAGAAGAAGATCGCAAAAGGGCTTTCCATATGAAAAGATTTTTTGAAAACGCGTCTGGGAACAAGTCCTTCGACATCAAATAGGCTTTTAATAATTGCTTGAAATAATAGGGCTCGCTAGCCGTTCCACTGCCCAAGTTGCTAAAATAAGGCCAGGAGCGTTCATAGAGACGGAACATGGTTCCGCCAAGCAGATTTATAAAGGCCAGAGGCCGCCCCTCATCGAAGGTCGGCGAATCCCCCAAGTATTGCTTTTGAATTTCCATCGCAAAGGCCCCCTTTTTATTGTCAGGAATATGCTTAAAAATAGACTCTTCTAAATACGGGATATATGGATTGAGCTTGGATGAATCCGGCAGGTGTTCATTCAACAATTGGATTGTAAAATTGCAAGTGCTCTCAAGATCGAATTTGCATGCAAAAACGGAATCAATAATGGTGTTCAATAGCAGCAGACCGCTCTTCTCCTTGAGGATGTTGACAAAGATCGATGAAAGTTCTGAATGGTCGCCAAAAAGAACCTTTGGGAGAGAGCGATGGGCGTCCCTCAAAGTAGAAGGAAGGAAATTGGACGAAGAGGCCAAATTAAACGAGAAAGAGACCGAAGAATGCGCTGTCGCAAGCTGGGGGAACTTTGAGCAGAACTTTTCTAAATGTGTTGAAAAAGCCTGTGTGTCTTTTTCAGCTAACATCACTGTTGAATCAAAGCGAGCTGACAGGTATTTAGAAAGAAGAGAACCAACTCGTTTGGAATGGACTGTGGCTAAGATTTCTACCGGAATTGCACAGTGGATCCTATGATCTGCGTAGCCAGGATTCTTTTCAAAGTACTGCAAGAATCCCAAGAAATCGTCCACTTCGCCATGTTCATCCCCAAAAATACTGAGATAAGCAAGACGACGAATGAAAAAATCGACCGATCCCACGGTGCGCCTGGTTTTGTGCTCAATAAATTGCTCAATCAGCGCGGTAGATATAGAGCTGTGAAATGATGCCAATGCAATTGAAGAATAGCTGTGACACCAAGGGGTATGTCTAGAGGATACAATTAGCCTCATCATGATGAGACTGGGATGGTCCCTAATTTTTTTAATTTTAAGCGATGGATGAATGGTTTTGTCTCCGATGTGCCTTTACCAACTATGCAAGCCGTCCCTCTTGCCTTCACTGTACGCTTTTCCGAAATCGTTTGGCTAGCAACTTTATCATTAGAATCTGAGGGACCCCCTCATATCGACACGCAAGCTATCGTGAACACTGGCGAGTTTGATCAAATCTTTTCAAAAAGGAGTCCAACTGGATTTCTCCTGCTCAGAGGTCTTGATCCATTTACGGAAGAAAACTCGATTTATTCTGCATGTAAATTTGTAAATGTCGCTCCAAAGCGTGTTTTCCTTGCGCGCGACAAGATGACACGCGTATCGATGGGATTTGCCTTTGTGGAGTATCCCAATCTGGATGTATGCTTGCCACTTTAAATGTAGATTTTCTCGTCCGTTTTTGCATACCTTTTGTCGGAAAACATTGAATTTTCAATTTCTGGCCGCCCCCTTGCCGTAACCATGGGAAGGAATCTCTATGCCCCGTATACTGACCCACGTGCTAATAGTGTTAGGAAGTCGACCAAAATAGCTTATTGGGATACAGAGTGTGTCCTTAGTGAATTTCCAGAAGAAGGAACCAGCGATCTCTCCGACTTTTACCTCTTTATGTCATCAAGCAATGAAAACGCAATTTCAGAAAAGATCGACGACAAGTTTCCGATGCAAGGCGATGCCACAGATGATCTTAGAAGATCCCCAGTTCTGACCGTTTCGGATCCGAAAATTAGCTCTATGCCTCTGCTATCTGGTCTTATCTCGGCAGATTTTAATGGCAAAACCGAGGTCTTTGGTGCTGAGGTTTGTTCATACGCTACCACCGCGAATGTCGATATTGTTGACGGCAATTCTCCAAATAGATCTTTAAATGGGGGTACCGAGCTTCAAAATACATTCTCTGGCGAACGGCAAGCTTCTTGTACCAAATCCATCGAAAAAAAGAAAAAGAGAGCAAAAAAAGAACCTGTCTCGCCAACGATTCGCCCTGACCCCTCGTGCTTTATGTTGACCCGAGACGGGTATTATTACGACTATAGAACGGCATACTACTACCAATTTGATCGGAATTGCAACATGTATTTCCCAATATCGGCACCGTCAATTCTCTCAAAGGGGAAAGAATCTGTCTCGTCGCAACCAGAGGGATCCATATTTGCTTGTTTGCTTTGTAAAAAATCGTTCTCCTCACAACGGCAACTGGACATTCACAAGGACAAGTCAGAAATACACAAGGTTACTCGTCCATTTTCACCTTTAGAACAATGCGCTACTTTATACCGAAACAGAGAAGGACAAAAAAGTTGCTGCAAGCCCGAGCTTATCTTCTGGAATTGGGTCTATCCTAATGAAAAGCATGGGGTGGAAGGAGGGCGAGGGCTTGGGTCCCAGTGGCAGTGGAATAACAGAGGTACTTTTTTTTCTCATTGAAATAGCCTGTCGAGGCAAGGAGGCATTCTGGAAGGAAAGGCATAGGCTCCAACATCCATAAAAGATCTATCGCAAAGGGCTAGCAACACTATGCTTTTGGATGTCACCACCTTCTGTTAAACCGATTGAAGTAAATTTCCGCAGGATCAGCCTTAGTCCTTTCCAGCACTTGGCAGCTTGAAAATTTCAATTTGAGATCTGCAATTTCAGTTGACTTCAGTTTGACTTTGCTATTGACAGCAATTGATGCCAATTTATCAGCTTTCAAAGCTAATCCAAAATCGAAACGTATAAATAGGATCTCGTTTCTCGAACCTCACAACATGTCTCAACATTCGAAATCTCTTTTGGTCATTCTCACAAACTCCAGCAAGCTTTCCCATGAAAGCGAACCATCCCCTACTTCCCATGTAACTGGATTTGATATCAAGGAGGTCGCCTATATCTACATGAAGCTTACAAAGAACTTTAAGGCTCCCATTACTTTTGCCACCCCTCGCGGAGGAGAGGCCCCTATTGATCCCAGCTCAAGAAAGGAAGGTGAAAAGGATGAAATCGTCCGCGAATTCCTTCGTGACAGCTCCCTTCAAAGCATGTTCCGCTCGACCACTTCCCTCGATGAGATTCGTCCTGAAGATTACTTCTGGGTTCTTATTCCTGGAAAGCATGGTGCCATGATGGATCTCTCTGAGAATTCCACTCTTCGCCGTATTCTCAGCACCATCTATAATGACAACCAGGGATACATTGCGACGATTGGACATGGTGTCTCTGCCCTCCTTTGTTGCCAGACTGGAGAGGGATCTTCCAAATTCGGCCCTAACTTTTTAAAGAACCGTTCGCTTACGGGCCCCACCAACGAAGAAGAGTCCATGCTGAAGATGGATAAGCTAGTCCCCTATCTTATTGAAGATCGTCTCCGTGAATGTGGTGCCAAGTTTGAGAAAGAGTCCCCCTTCAAGCCATTCGTTGTCGTAGACGAGCGTCTTGTCACCGGCCAGAATTGTAACAGCGTCAATCAGTGGATTGAACACATAATTGATCTGTGCCCCAGCCACAGAAAACAAT